CAATCTGAGTATTAACATTAAGCAAATTAGCAACAGGTGAAAAAAACTCGAAATAAAACTACATACTCAATAAATACCCATCACAAAAAATCAGTTGCGTAGATTGAGAAAAGTATATTAACTAAAAACAAATGCCTTTTGACAAGCAATTCGCGACAAGGAATTGCACTAGTGCTTTGTAGCTAAGAATCGTCTATGCATTTCATTATTCTAAATCTAGCAATAGCAACAATCACACCACAATGCATTACATCAAAGTATACTACCTTATTTTGCTCCAATTCAAATAGCAGAATGATGGACTCATTAGGCAACAAAATATTACGCAACGAAAGTAAGCGCAATTTTGAAGCCTACAGTATCAAATCATCTAAGTCATGAAAATTATATGAGCTTTGCTATCTACAGCCACATGGTTGATGAATTCTGATCACAGCAGATAGATGTCAAATACAAGGAGAACAGAACATTACAAATCTCTTCTCTCTTTTCTTTTCACAAAAGAAAAGAAATTCAATGAAGTAAAATGTTTGCACCATGTCACATGAATATTTCATTGATTATCCCACAAAGAAAATAATCTAAGAGAACGCCAACATCAATCACAAACATTTATGATTTTCTTCATGCAACTAAAATGAATGTGGCAAACAAATGACTACATATTTTTTGACAATTTAGACTTCTAAAATTTTGCAAGGGCTAGGAAATTTATGAATCTTAACACAATATGCATTAATTTAAAACAAACACATCTACACTTTTTAGTTTCTAAATAATAAAACAATCAAAAGCTTGGTTAGTACATTTTTCGCAAATTCAAAACATAAACATCAACAATTTACTCGAATCACAATCGTCTTATTAGAAGTCAAACGCCTTATTCATTAGGCCACGGGTGCCCAGTTGTCAGTTTTTTTTGTACAAGCAGAAAATCGTAAAATGGTACAAGTAACATTTAATTGCTTTTAGGAGCTTTTGGATCACATAATATTTTATTAGAAGGATATATTATATTAACGGAAAGGAAGATTATCTTGAAGATTACTAGGAATGTTTAAAAAATGTGTTTGGTTGGTTCGAATAAATTGGTGAATAATATGTTTGATTGGGATAATAAATTGATGGGTATATTATATAGATTACTAAATTGCCCTCATTTTTAAATATAAATATAATAGTATTTTTATTATTATTTTTTGAATTATTTCTTTTAACCCCCTACATTTGAAATTTTGCTAAAACACCCCAGCCATATAAAACTTTAATTTGTAGCAAAATTACCCTCACCCACCCCAACCCCCTGCGGTAACCAACCACCACCGCCGCCGGCAGTCGATGAAATGGCGCACGATTGGCCATATATGGTCGGCTGTGCACCGGTAAAGCCGGAAATGGCCATGGATAACAAATCTATGGCCAGAAAACGACCAAATCCATGGCCATTTCACGGCCAAAGATATGGCCGTGAAAAGGCTAGATCTTTGGTCGTGAAATGTAACGACCATAGAAACCCTAGATCTTGTCGTTTCTGGCCATGAATTTGTGATCCATGGCCAGAAAAGACCTTATCGGCGCATGACCAGTCAAATCTCGTCGGTCATGCACCATTACAGCGATTGACGCCAGCGATCGACTGTGGTGAGTCACGGCTAGTGGTGATCTTGGGTGGCTGGGGGTATTTTGTTAACTTTTAAACTTTTTTGTGGCTGTGGTGTTTTAGCTAATTTCTCAAATGTAGAGGGGTGCGTAATTATTATTTTGTAGACATCTGAGGGCAATTGTGTCCTAAATGGTTTTTAATTAAGGGAAAAATGGGATTAAAAATCATATTATTCTAGTAATGTTTTAATAACACCCCTTAGCAAGGTAATAAGATTACCCTCCACATTACCAATAGTAACTACTATTTGCAATAAAAGATTACTGTAATATTTTATTACTTACAAACTAAACATAGGAATCTTGTAAAATAAACGAATATTACCCCTATTATCTTATTTACGCCCGATCCACACAGTCCCTTAGGAATATTAATCCGAACCTCTGATTAATAGTGAAATAGTGAAGCTGACCTGCATTTTCTGAAAAGTATTAAATAACTCCTTACAGTCAAGTTAAATTTTAAGTTTCATCAAGTTCATGTATTTAATATTTGTTAAAATAAGTATTATCCATTTTACCCTTCTACATCACTTAAAAAATTAAAAACAAAATTCTGGACTGTTTCTAATTGCTCAAGAAAATAAGAAAATCCTATTTTCTTTTTCTTTTTCTTTATTCTTTCCCTTTTCTCCAGCAAAAAAAAAAAAAAAAAAAAAAATCTCTATTCACCTTATAAATTTTAACTCAATGAGAATCTCACTATAACGTCAAATCTCCAACCCAATTAAAGTATAACAAAGTTTTTCAATCTAACAAATCAACTAAAAAAAAACTCACATGCATCTCCTTACAACTGATTCAAACTCAATTACAAATTCAACAAAATAAATTTTCAGAAAACACGATTTAATTGACGATAAAATGTTATTTAATATTTTCAGAATGACTCGCAACGTAAGAAGCGCCTAGCGGATTTAGGAATACACGTGAGGATCCATGAGATTTGAATATGGAGCTGAGATTTATATTTTGCAGAAAATATAAATGAAAGATTGGCAGAGGGGGTTTTTATAGTGGTTCGGATGTCAACAGCGACTTCTACATCCACTGTATTTTATTGATCTCTGACTATTTCTATGATTTTGCCCGTAAGGCTACAAAGATGAAGAAAATAGTGTTTTTACAGAGAAAAAATGAAGCTCCAATCTCGATCCAGCCTTCTCCTTCAAGAAGAGGATTGCCCATTTTTATTCACATTTGCACTCATGTATGAGTGTTTGTGCAAGTTGTCTTGACACATAGAAGGCTCTCGTCCATTCATCTCTTTTGAAATGAGATAAAGTTTGTGAGAATCTCTTTGGAGATATGGGCTTGGCAGTTTGGTACAAAGAGACATTAATTGTGCTGACATAGGCTTGACTTTTGAGACATAACATTCCTTTTTTCAGTACTTTTTGAAATATTTGACCATGATAAATAATACTCTATTTTTTTTTTTCTTTTTTAGAATATACTATATTGCAAAGTGTATACCAAGTTTGTATTTAAAGTAACAAATTCTGAAAACCAAAACCGAGCCTTGACCTGGTCAAGGGCGCCGTTTTTTGGTTGACTGGCTGATTGGTGGATCATCGGTCAGACCAGTAACTCAACATGTTAGCAGGTTTGAAATCCTACAAACACACCTTACAAAATACCATTCGTCCCATAGGTTTGAAATCCATCAAAACACCCCTAAGAAATTACTCATTTGTCCCTATGGTTTAAAATACAATAAACACACCCCTATACTTGGACAGTCATGCAAAGTAGACTAGTAGTAGCGACGACGATGGACGTCAATCAAGGTTGTGATGATGGGACTTTTATGAGATAAAGAACATGCTTATAGTGGTGTCAGGTGAATGGTTGGCGCGAAAGCTACCTGAATCGGGAAGAAGGCAATAGGTTGGCAAACAAGAGGTGGAACGAAATTGACGAGCGACTAGTGCATTTGGACTAAAAATGCAGGTTTTTGTCATGAGGTGATATTGAAGTTATGGGTGGTGTCTGAGCAGATGTGAAGTAGAACATATGTGAAAACAATGTGAAGCAGATTGCAGATCGCAAGTGTGAGTGGCGACTGTGATGTTAGGGATCAAAGAAGGAAGAAACTTGCTCAAATTTGGAGGCGAATTTGTGTTAATTTAGTTTTAGTGAACCACGGTGAACTAGAACTAACGGTTTTAGGCGTCGAATCTGATCCAAAGGGTAATACGCTTTATTAGTTGTAATCGGACCGGCTTGGCTATTGGCTCCCATTCATCGATTGGTCAGGTTTTCAGAAAGTGAAAGTCATGGCACAAATTGAATGAATTAGTGTTGATATAGAAAGTTAATTTGATAAATAAAAAAAAAATAAAATCTAGAATAAACTAAAGGTACGACGTCTCACACGACAACATAATATCTTTACGTCACCTATGCATTTTGTTTCTCTTCTCTATCTTTACATTGAATGCAATTCATAGTTATTAAATTTAATAATAATGAATATGCACTGTTTGGTTTGTGTTGTCGATATTGATATACCATATACTTTCTCACTTAATAAATGTACGATAAATGAGAGAACGAGCCACATCCTTTATATACAAGGTCTTGTAAATAACTTTGCATATACTAGTATATGCATCACTTTTTTTTTTTTTTTTTTCCTTTGTGATTCTATTGCTATGTTTTACCTTTTATTATTATTGTTGTTGTTATTATTATCATTATTACTTTAATGAAAATTTATTTGGCTCTATTGTCAATTGTCAATTCTTTTTAACCAGTATGCGTGAGCAAAGCCAATGGCGCAGGATTGCCTTCTAAACTGCATCCATGATTTTAGTAGCAATTACTTTTACCCAGCTAGGAAAATTGACTGCACCCAGGATTTGAATAAAATTTGTTTTGGTCATCTCCATTATTTTCATAGTCAACTTAATGAAATTTGACTTCTAAATGCTACCATTCATTTCAGTTTGACAATGGGTTTGGCGGGACTACTTTGAAATGAAGCTCAATTTTTATATAAACACTCGTGACATGAGTAAATAAACTATCAACAAATTTCGAAACCTAAGCGAGTGACTGTGTGCGTGCGTACTTGAGTCTGTGGAGTGAGTTGTGGCCTCACACTTCATTCAAATTGAGAATAAAAAAAAAAAAAAAAAAAAAAAAAAAAATTAATTTGAACCAGAGCATAGGAAAAACTTGAAGAGAAACCGATATTACCGCGCCGGTTTTTCTTTTATCAGTTTCAAAATACAATAAGTAGGGAGGCCCTATATAGATTAATGTAAAGATAAGGTAAAAAAAAAAAAAAGAACTTCTTTTTTCAAAATCCCTCTGCTCAATTTTTGTCACAATTATTTGAAGTGAGCAAATGGATCAAAGTCAGGCACATTAGATCCACCACCAGAACTTGAACCAGATCCATCCCTGAAGTACAATCCAGTATAAGGATCATAAAAGCCTTGATGGGGACCCAAGTTATAAACAGACTCATGAGGCCCAGGCACCCCAACCTGCCGATAGTCCACTGCACGATGCCCCATGTTGGGTTCTCTACGCGTAGAATTACGTTGATTCTCACCCTCTCTATAGCGGCTCAGGAAGAGAGTGAGAGGCTCAAGGTAGTTGTCGAAGCCCAACTTTCCCATGGCCCAAATAATATCCTCAGCAGTGATGGTCTTACGCAATTCATGATGGCAACGATCATTGGCTTCCCCAGTAATGAAGCTAATGAATTCAGAGACACATTCTTGGACGGTCCCTTTGGCATCATCAGATATCTTGGCGTGTGGAGGGAGGCCACGACGCATGATGCGTATTACATTGGCGATGGGCAAGTATTGATCTTGTTCACGTAGAAAGCATGATGGCGGTTGTGGGGCTTTTTGTTGCTCACTCTGGTTATTGTTGTCGTTCATGTTGATGATGTTATTGTCGCTGGTGGTGATATTTGTTGCGGCGGAGGTAGGTGTGACGGCAGGGGCGGTAGAGTCATCCCTTGGATGAATATTCAAGGCTGAAACCAAAGAAGATCATGTAAAAATGTTAGTACATGTAACTTATTTTGTATGAAAAGTGCATCATCAACATAAAAGTTTTTTGATATCAATAAAACGACGAAGTTAATTTCTTTTATTTTCATCTTAATAAAAACAAATGGATGCATATCATATAATGGAATTTGGTAAATATGGCAACCTATTTAAGTGCATATACATAATTTAAACAAAAGCTCATATTATTAAATTAGTTCTACAAATGGTTATTAATTTAATGCCACCTCTCTAATAAGGTATAATTTCATTTCTATTTCCTTTTTAGGCACCACTTAATAATTGCATAATGACCATGACCATGACCGTGTGAGTATCATTATCTTAAAGTGGCCCAAATAAAAAAAAAAAAATTATATAAAAAATAGTTAACTTCCACGTCAGCACAAATTAAAAATTAAAAATAGGTTAACTGCCACGTCATAGGATTGCATGGCAAAGGTGGCGACTAGGAGGCCATGCCAAGCGCAAGGTGTGGGTCCAGAATGGGTCCCGAGCCCACCTTAAACCTACCACTGCTTAGATTCTTTTGTCTGCTTGTTCCTCCTTACTCTTAGAAAGAAAAGTCAAAGCCTTTCTCTGCGAGATTTTAACCAAATTTATTGCTTTGATAGCAAAAATTAGCATTGAGATAATTTTTTTTTAATTAAATTTTATAGAAACTAAATTAATTTTTTTCAAGAATTTGAAAACGAACAAGTTTGTGTGCCTAATTTATATTTCTATTTAAAAATATTTGTTGGATCATTTCAGGTCTCTCTAAAGAAATATAAATGCCTACATGCAAGCCAGGTTAGTAAAGAACAAAGGAAATTGAAGATTAGATGTATCATTATATCGATCTCACATATCGTAAGATAAATTCAGATATTGAAACCAAAATAATAATAATAATAATAATAATAAGACAAAATGAGAGAGAGAACCCACCAACCGTTACCAGTGAGATGAGCAAGAACAGAGAGCAAGAGATAAGGCTCAAAAAGGTGGCGACAATATATGTTACATTTGCATCTCAGTTGAATTCACGTCCGAATTAAAATGAAAGAAACTTAGCTAACAAAAAAATTAATTTTTAATTTAAAATCCTGTTATATTAATAATAATTGTAACGATTCCGTCAACAAAACAAATAATATACGCAAATATATGAACTCAGTGATGTAGACAAAAAAAAAAAAAGATCGAAAGCAATATTCACCATAAAAATCAATCTACGCATGCAATAAACTATCATTGCTCAAAAACCTGATAAACACACATGCATGCATATGAAGATCGACAAAGAAAATGGAGATAAATGAGGATCATAGCCTGAAAGCCAATGAATATATATGCGATTAATTTACCAGAGCTAGTTCTTGCAAGCTTGTTGGGAAATTGACTGAATCCGTCTGCACGTTCCATAGCTTCTCACTATTGATCAATCTCTCTAACCTTCTCTAAATGTCATATTTTTTCTCTTTTTCTAAAGAGCCTATAGCCTTTGTCACTTGAGTAGGCAGCCCTGTGAATTTATAGAGGCTTCAAGTGGTAAACCACACATGGCTAACTGGCGTTTTCATCGAGGTAACTTAGTATCGCCTGAGATAACAGCCTCTTTGGCTGGACAAGAATGTGCCCTTTATGGGTTGTCACAGGTTATTTTCCTTATATACGTAACTTATACATTTCAAATTTTATATAAATCAAGAAGTTTTACTATGACCCTTGTTTAATATGTAATACCTAATTTTGGAGAGTAATTGAAAGAGAGTGGTAAATTTGGTTGAAAATTTGAGAAATTTTAATACGGTTTAATTAATTATTTAATCTAGAAGGTGTTGGATAAAGTATTTTGGTTAAATATGAACTTACTTGGTGCATATAATTTATGAGTGTTACTGCTTCATTTAGGTTTAAGTATTACATCTACTGTTTTCAAAACCTAATAAGGGCATTTCTCATTTCATGAGTTGGAATTATCTTGTTACCATTCCACTACAACAAAATTATTTTACAGTAACATGTAAAAAATGTTACCAAAGGTAAATAGTAGCATTAATGAGTATATTGTTATAACCCATGTTACTAAAAAAATGATACTTTAATAACATTTAAAACCTGTTACTACTAATTATTTTGTTGCAAAGTTACAAATGAACTTTCAATAAATGTAATACTATTGTTGAACTAGAGACCCACCACACCAACACCCCTCTATCCCCTATCCCATAGATCCCACAATTCGCTGGCCACCTGCAACTTTTTGATTCACACAATCATTGTTGTGGTGGCCGCTTTGTCCCACTTTCTTCTCCTTTTTCTGGTTGGCCCACTCACCGGAAACGTCTCCAACCATTGCCATTCGAACTAGTTGATATTCCATTTCAAAACCCCTCTCGGACCCGTTCTCCATTTGTCGCCGATTTTCCACCGCCTCCTCCAAAGGTAAGCATCAATGAGCGGCTTTGAATTGGGTTTTTTGTTGTTGTTTTGTTTGTGAAATCTATGTAGTTGTGGTTTTGTTTAATTGAGTTTCGAAAGAATTTACCTCTTTGAAATTGAGAGACAGTGTTGTGTGGGTTGTGCTAGGGAGGAGTTGAAGGATTCTGGATTGTGTGGGTTGCGTGGGTTGTGCTAGGGAGGAGTTGAATGTCGTTTGCTATTTGGTTTGGTGGAGTGGATTGTGTGGGTTGTGGTTGGGGAGGAGTTGAATGACGTTTGTTGTTTGGTTTGGTGGAGTGGATTTGTTTGTTTGGGATTTTTTGGAGTTGATTGGTTGATTTATGGAATCTTGGGTTTGTCGTTCGGCGGCATTGGCTAAGTGGTGGTAATTTGGGGAAGAGTTCCTACCATGATTGGTTAAGAAAATCGGCTAGGAGGCAGCCAAAAGGCCGACGACAGTGAAGAAGAGGAGGGGAGATGAAGAAGAAGGTCCAAGGGCATTTTGGTAAATAAATTTGCTGCCCCTGTGTTCGAACCCATCTGTCACTAACACGTCCATTTAAGGTGGGAATCTAGAATTTATGAAATCAATACCAACCGAAGATTTCATTACACCTTGGTTTGGAATATGCCGTTTACTCTGAGAAAATAAAATTATTGTTAGTTCACTAAATGAAGTGACAAATTGAATTCTATATCTTAATTTATTTCTTCAATTTTATTTATCGTATGAAATTTGTCACTATAAATATCTGTCATACCTAAGAAAATGTGTATTATTAATTATTTGCCAGGTGTACTAACTAGAAAATACTCTTAAAATTAATATATAGATATCGATGGATGTTGCTTTCGAAGGTCATAAATCTTAGATTTATTTTTGTTTCAATTTAAAAAGTAAGCTCAATATCAATTGATAATATGGGGCATATCAATAATTTTTATATCAATTAGAATGTACTAATTTCATTATAGGAGAGTTATAATCAAACGACCAACTAGATCCATCAATTAATATGGAAAAGAAAAAGAGTGGATCTATGACACTCCTCTCCTACTAATGGACTAAAGAATCTCCATTTTTTTTAATAAATTTTATAATGATAAATTTATTCCTATATTAAAGTTTAAAATTAACTTTAATATCCTATTCTTTACAAATACTTTTGGCACCTGATAATTTTCTCATAAACCCTATTTCGTTTTATGCCATTCAAATCATTTTTAGAACAAAAAAATAGTTTAATGGAAACACTACAACAAATTTTTAATTTATGGATGAATTCAGTTTCGTCCTAGAATGGTCATTTTAGGGGATGAAATTGTAATTTTAACAAAAAATGCTTAGCACTCAATTTCTAACCCACACCAACAATTGATTTCGCCAGCCATATGGAGGGAACGATGAAATAATATGGAGAGGAATCATTCTGGGACGAAATTTATTATTTTTTAACGAAAAATTTTGTAGCTAAAATCCTTTTCTTTGGGGACAATTTTTTTTGTCTTTAATTATACAAAATTTGGAAAACATATTTGGGACGAAATATGATTTTGTCATCGACGGTGAAAAATACATTTTTAGGGATGAAGTTTTGAAAACCAATTATTTACTGAGAAGAAAATATTATTCCTGCCAACATGAAATGAGGTTGATTTTGTCTTATTTTTATTGTTTAGGGTCCAATAATTTGTCACTTTTCATTCATGCAGGGGCCAAGCTGAATTTTTTTACAAATAGTATAAAAGAAAGATGGAAAGTTGTGCAAAGCCAAAAACATCCACCCATCTTCATCCATTTTCCAACGATCGTCCAACTTCCACCTCCGACGACTATTTTCCTTCTCCAATGGTTGGGCATCATCACCCAAGATCTTCTTGGATTCCTGCAACTGTTAAGCTTCCTTTATCCACGACCGTTCATCTTCCCAATGGCTTTTCTTCGTTTTTCAATGACTTCTAAACATCCTAGGCGTCAGTCCATACTTCCTAAGGTCAAATCCACCTTCCCCAAGGTTGACTCGAAATCTCGTCGAAAATAGCCATTTCACCGCCATGACTCTTCACCTTTTTGACATGATTTCACTCACTTTTTGGTGTGTAGCACCGAATTAAAATGAAAGAAACTTAGCTAACAAAAAAATTAATTTTTAATTTAAAATCCTGTTATATTAATAATAATTGTAACGATTCCGTCAACAAAACAAATAATATACGCAAATATATGAACTCAGTGATGTAGACAAAAAAAAAAAAAAAGATCGAAAGCAATATTCACCATAAAAATCAATCTACGCATGCAATAAACTATCATTGCTCAAAAACCTGATAAACACACATGCATGCATATGAAGATCGACAAAGAAAATGGAGATAAATAAGGATCATAGCCTGAAAGCCAATGAATATATATGCGATTAATTTACCAGAGCTAGTTCTTGCAAGCTTGTTGGGAAATTGACTGAATCCGTCTGCACGTTCCATAGCTTCTCACTATTGATCAATCTCTCTAACCTTCTCTAAATGTCATATTTTTTCTCTTTTTCTAAAGAGCCTATAGCCTTTGTCACTTGAGTAGGCAGCTCTGTGAATTTATAGAGGCTTCAAGTGGTAAACCACACATGGCAAACTGGCGTTTTCATCGAGGTAACTTAGTATCGCCTGAGATAACAGCCTCTTTGGCTGGACAAGAATGTGCCCTTTATGGGTTGTTACAGGTTATTTTCCTTATATACGTAACTTATACATTTCAAATTTTATATAAATCAAGAAGTTTTACTATGACCCTTGTTTAATATGTAATACCTAATTTTGGAGAGTAATTGAAAGAGAGTGGTAAATTTGGTTGAAAATTTGAGAAATTTTAGTACGGTTTAATTAATTATTTAATCTAGAAGGTGTTGGATAAAGTATTTTGGTTAAATATGAACTTACTTGGTGCATGTAATTTATGAGTTTTACTGGTTCATTTTGGTTTAAGTATTACATCTACTGTTTTCAAAACCTAATAAAGGCATTTCTCATTTCATGAGTTGGAATTATCTCGTTACCATTCCACTACAACAAAATTATTTTACAATAATATGTAAAAAGTGTTACTAAAGATAAATAATAGCATTAATGAGTATGCTGTTATAACCCATGTTACTAAAAAAAAATGATACTTTAATAACATTTAAAACCTGTTACTACTAAATATTTTGTTGCAAAGTTACAAATGAACTTTCAATAAATGTAATACTATTGTTGAACTAGAGACCCACCACACCAACACCCCTCTATCCCCTATGCCATAGATCCCACAATTCGTTGGCCACCTGCAACTTTTTGCTTCACACAATCATTGTTGTGGTGGCGACTTTGTCCCACTTTCTTCTCCTTTTTCTGGCTGGCCCACTCACCGGAAACGTCTCCAACCATTGCCATTTGAACTAGTTGATATTCCATTTCAAAACCCCTCTCGAACCCGTTCTCCATTTGTCGCCGATTTTCCACCGCCTCCTCCAAAGGTAAGCATCAATGACGGCTGGTAATTGGGTTTTTTGTTGTGTTTTGTTTGTGAATCTAGTAGTTGTGGTTTGTTATTAGTTCCGAAGAATTTATCTCTTTGAAATGAGAGACAGTGTTGTGTCGTTTGTGCTAGGGAGGAGTTTGAAGGATTCTGGATTGTGGTGGGTTGCGTGGGTTGTGCTAGGGAGAGTTGAATTGTCGTTTGCTTATTGGTTTTGGTGGAGTGGATTGTGTGGGTTGGCTGGGGAGCAGTTGAATGACGTTGTTTTTGGTTTGGTGGATTGGATTTGTTTGTTTGGATTTTTGGAGTGATTGGTTATTATGGAAGGAAAAGATAGAGTTACCGAAAAGTTTACACCGAATTGGTGCACCAAATGACGATCAAAATCCTTACCGTTATAATATTAACTGATAATAAATCACGGTCAGGATTTTGTCACGTCATTCGGTGCACAAATTCAGTGCACACC